TCCTCCATCCTCTCCACTTTCTCTCTTTCCTTTGCTTTCCCTTTTCCCTTCCTCTTTGCTTTCCATTCCTTTCTTCCTCCTTACGCTTCTCTTTTTCTTTTCCCACCTCTCCTCAACTTCACCCCTGGACAGGTGCCTACCCTAATTTCTCTTGGTACACATAGCCACCAAGACTAGCAACACACCACCTATTCAAATCATAGCTGTAATTGCTTTAAAACTCTTGCTAATTCCAACATCTGGGTCTCTGCTCATTATCCTTTATCTTGGATTTGGTTGCATTTTCCTGCTTTTTATATATGGAGTAGATCTCTATAACTCTAGACTCTATGTATAGGATATTGTAGAGGACTCCAGACTCTTATATAGAATGCTGATATTTTGTTTTTATCTAGTAAGCTAGATGGTTCCATTCTGCAGACTATCAGAAGACAGCAACTAAAATCTCTACTGAATTCTTTTTTGCTGGGCAGTTCTGAGCCTGTGTAGTACATTAATCTGCCAGAGGTTTGTCAGAGTCTAGGTAGAGAACTCTTTTTGTCCCTTTATTTTCCTGAAGCTTAGGCTTCCTGAAGCTTCTCTGGTTCTTTAAGCCAGAAAAAAAAAAACAAAACTTTTTTTGTTGTTGGTGTGGGACTTGAATTCTGGGCTTGGGCCCTGTCCCTGAGTGCTTCAGCTCAAGCAGAGCACTCTACCACTTGGGCCACAGTGCTACTTCCAGTTTTATGGTTAATTGGAGATAAGAGTCTCACAGACTTTCCTTGCCCAGGCTGGCTTTGAGCCACGATCCTCAGATCTCAGCCTTCTGAGTAGCTAGGATGACAAGCGTGGGCCACTGGCACCCAGCTAAACTGGGGTTCTTAAGTACTGAACTCAGGGCCTCACACTTGCTAGGCAGGCAACTCTCAGGCTACACCCGTAGCCCTATGGACTTTCTACAAGAGACTTTTTTTTCTCTCCAAATGTCAACTATCTAAAATCTGTCTTCTTTCATTCTCCTGTGCCATTAAATCATTGCACTTTTCACTTTGCCTAGAATTAATAATAATAATTGGTGAGACGTTTGTTCTAGTAGTTTATTTTACCATATCAGAATTAGAGCACCTTCTGTTTTTTTTTTTTTGTTGCCATTTTAAATGTAGTACTGGAGACTCTACTCTCTCATGGTTGCAAGATGGATACTGTAGCTCCAGCCAGAATGTCACCATTGCAGGTTGGAAGGAAGATGAGTGAAGAAGGATAAGAGGAAACTTTTAGCTCATCAGCCATCCTTTAGGTGTATGTCCACATTCTCATCTAACAGCTTTCACCTACAATTGGAGGTTTTAAATGATGACATAATAATGAGGCTGAATTAACCCTTATTCCAAATGGAAGTAGAGCTAAGTAGTAAGAAAGGAAAGGGAGTGGCTCTAGGAAGGCAGATACAGCTATCCCATGACAAAAGGATTGTATCAGCATTTAGAATGTTAAATACAAACTGGGCTCAGTGGCACACACCGGTAATCCCAGCACTTGAGTGACTGAGGCAGGAGGAGAGAGAATTCCAGGGCAGCCTGGGTACATAGCAAATTTAAAGCCAGCTCAATCTTAATGCATGTTCCCTGCTTTGTTAACTCCATCCCTGGGGAATAGAAACCACTCCATAAAGGTTGGTTTTTTTTTACTATGGCTTGTGAGTTTCATGATGGATGTAAACCCCAAGCCTGATAGGAATCCAAAAGGGAGGTCCCTTATTCAACTCTTAGAACACAAGGGTAAGAAGGAGGACTTCCTGGAGGCAGTGACCCCCCACCCCCAATCCCCAGCCTGATCAATAAGACAAATAACTGCTGACCAAGTCAGAGAAGGAGCAAGTCCCGGACAGAAGAATCAGCCCTGAGTAGTGTCAGAAGCAGCAGCCTGCTGTGGGTGGGACTTCACTGCTCCTCTGTGTGAAGTACAGACAGGTGAATGAGGATGTGGTGAGACAGGTCAGGGGGAGGCATTATCTCCTAGTGTCCAGTCGAGTGCTCACGATAGAGCAAGGGACTATTCTGCACAGACAGACAGACAGACATAGGTACACGCTCACCTGTGTGCCTGAGGTTTCCCTAACCCTCGAGGCTTCCCACGGGTAGGCCTTGAGCCCCCGGGGCTCAGGCCCTGCCGCTGTCCCCTCCCATGGGAGTGTAGGGAGCAGAGGTGGTGTGGGTTGTGTCATCACTGTTGGTTCCCTGAGTGATCTATGGCCCTTTGTCCCCTCCCCGCCATAACTCTTTTTCCAAGATAGAAACTTTCAAAAACACGCTTGCAAAGTTGGATCCAACAGGAAGTGGAGAGCTGATAGTGTGGGAAGGAAACAAGAAGTGAGGGCTGGTTGTTGGCCTGAGCCTTTCCACCTCCTTTCCCTCCCTCTCTCAAAGCTGGGTCTGGTCCTGAGCTCCCAGATGTCCTAGTGTGTGGGTCTAAGAGGAGACTGTGCACCTGGGATGTGTCTGTGGCACACCCCCCGCCCGGCCTGGACTCTGGTGTCAGCCAGAGATTTTCTAGGCCTCGCTTGAGGTCTTTTTTTTTTTTTTTTGCCAAAAGCATCTCTTGGCATCTCCCTGTATCTGTTTCTCCTAACCCCTTTCTAATTGGTTTCCTTCAACTCAGTGCAGTTCAGTTCAATGTGGCACCCGCTTCCAAGGTGCCAGGGCTTGGTCCCAGGCTTGGATGATCATTTCATAGGAGAGGGAGGATGAGGGGAGATTGAGAAGAGGAGGAGGAGGAGGAAGAGGGAGTCAAGCTTGTGGCTCGAGTGGTAGAGTGCCCGCCTTGAGTAGAAAAGCTCAGGGATAGTGCTGAGGCCTTGGGTTCAAGCCCCAGGACTGGCACATCCACACACCAGATGCTGCAGGTTTTGGCTCTTGGAGAGTTTAGAAGAGCTGGTCTCAAGGCAGATAGATCCTGCACATCACCCACGTTCTTCTAACCTGGTTCCTCACTGTGGAGATGAAGTAGCTACAGTCCAGATAGGGCAAGGAACTGTCTCAGAGCTGCACAGCAAGTATTTTCATCCCAAGGATGACCATGAGAGATTAGGGAGGCCTTGCATTTCTCCAGGTGACCTGGGCTGGTATGTGGAGACCGTGCGGTCAGTAGGCAGACCCTGCCATCCCAGGGTCCTGTGGTATGACCTCAATGGCTTTCAGATCACCCCCCCCATTCCCTCTCCCTCCCCAAGGCTGGGCTGTGGCAGGGCAGGGCAGGGATTCCTCTTCTTCCCCTGAGTCCCAGCCAGGGAGGATTGCTTGCCACAGAGGCTATGCCGCAGTCTCGGTCAGGGACAGGGAGCCCTTCCTCTCCCACCCCTTTAGAGAGCAGGTCTTTATCAGGCTCCAGCTGGGACTGCCTTGGGCCGGCTGGGCTAGGCCAAGCAAAGCTCAGGACAGGCTGACACAGCATAGAGGAGATAACTTCTAGACAAGAGAGAAATGATAAATAGGGGCTGCTGGGCCCGCGTGTGTGAGTGTGTGTGTGAGTGCGTGAGTGCGCATGCGCACACGTGCGTGCGCATGCACAGAATTCACCCTGAAGGCTGGGCCCATGGTGGAAGAGCTTGGACTTCTGTAACCTGCGCTGCGCCCCCCCCACCTCCCCCGTGCCCAGGCCCGTGAGGCTGTAGCTGTGTTGGCTGCAGAGGCCTCCGCAGGCCAGGTTCTCTCTCAGTGAACCGCATTGGTAAGCTTGGCCTGATCAGTGGTAGGAGGCAGGAAATGGGCCGTGGCGAGAGCCAGGGCCTAGCCTGGGCCCAGAGCTCCACCCAATCTCAGCCGTTTCCTCCTCTGTTCAACAGGAATCATTTTAGAGTGGCCCAACGGTGGCGTCTCAACTCTTGCTCATTCTACCCACACTCCCTGGGCACCTACTGGTTTCCAGGTTCCTAGGCACTGGGAAGAGAACCAGAGTGAGCAGAGGCTGCCCTTTCTCCTCAGAGCTGTGAGCCAGGCTCCTCTGTAGGGCCCTGAGTGGGGTGGGTGCTCAGGAAGTGGTCGTGACTGGTTTGGATCGTGGTGACCATTCATTATTTTGAGCCAGTGCAACCTGGTTCACACCCTCCAATCTTCCTGGTCCCATCACATGAACTGACCGACCTGGAAGTCAGCGTTTAGTCCTTAGGTGTTCTCTCCTACAAGAAGCCAACCCTGATTTCCCCCTCCCCACTCTACCCTGCACAAGTCACTCTGGAATTTACCAGGGTGACTTACCGTGTCATCGTTAGTTACCCTCTCCATGCCCCAGCTTGGCGGGACTGAGCTCAGTCCCTTCTTGGCTTTCCAGTGGGTAGCACACTGTAGGTGGTCACTAAATGTTTGATGAATGAATGAATGATTCAAAGACTCAACCAGAGCCCTTACTTCCAGGGCACTGCAGAAAGAACTTTCTGGACCAGGACTGAGACTCACTCGTGGGGAAACGGCAGTGTGGGTTTGTGTATACCTGTGCGGGGCTGCAGTCATGGTTTCTGGCATTCATTTGTAGTGCTTACAAATGACACTGGACACTGTTTTGAGGGCTCCAGGTGGATTTAATCTCTTGCTTGCTCCAACAAGTTGAGAAAGGTTCATTTTCCCATTTATTTAGTGAGGAAATGGAGATCCAGAGTGGGTAAGCGTCTTGGGTGTTGTGCATGTGTGCGTGCCCAAACAGGTGGACATGTGGGCACACCTGCATGTGGCACAGACTTAGTATCTTCCAGATGGTTCCTGTTGCCCCAGGCAGACTCTGGCTCTAGACAGGCCCTAGGCTTCGGGGTCTCGGAAAGGAACAAGATTTTGCTTGGGGACCAAGAGACAGAAAAAGGCCGGGGAGGAGTCCCTGCTCTCATAAGGACTTCAGAGACTAGCCCAGAGGAGCTGAAAAGCCACTTGCCTGTTTCTTGGGCAGAGCTACTTACGTGTGGGCCTGGCGGGTGGAGAGAGCTGTAGGTCTGAGCGCATCACAGACACCACCCCCAGCCCGGCATGCTTACTTACCAACTGTTTTTCCACCTCTCTCAGGTCGTGGATCTCCATGGCTTCCAGCGATGTGCTGCTGCTGAGAGGCGCACAGTGTTGGCAGTGCTTCAAGCCCTCCATTCTGCTGTCTCCTCCTACCTCAAGCGGTGAGCGCAGTGATTCCTGTCAGAGCCATTCTGAGCGTGTGAGAAGTCCACGTGTTGTCATCTGTCGTGGCTCGTTCAGCCAGCACCACCAAGGATCGCTGCCAAGCCAGGCCTTGCGCTGGACACGTAGGGTGAGCAGAAGAGAGCCTAAGCTCCAGGGGATGTTGGGTGGGGAAATTGGTTGGGTTGCTGTCAAGAGTAGGAATCCATGACTTCCTGCATGCTGGGCGGGGCTTGGGTGGGGGTGGCGGGAGCAGGCAGCAGGCAGTGGCTGGTTGCGGGCAGGTGCAGGGGTGGGTGGCGAAAGCTTCTTGGAGGAGGTGAGAAGTGGACTGAATTTTGAAGGAAACATTTAAGATAACTAAGGAAAGGAAGTGGGTGCAGGCTTGAATGAGCTGCAGTTAGCCTGACCGTTGGAGGTCTGGGGAAATGCAACTTTGGTTTGGATAGGTAGTTGTGCACGTGTATACACACACTTGTAAGTGCGTTTGGACCCAAGGTGGTGATTGAAACATTGCATTGAAAACTCCTTTCATGTTTACTGTGAAAAACTTCGATGAAGTGGAATGCATGAGCGCACTGTCATTCATGTTTCCGAGTGTGAGTTAAGGTTTTTTTTTTTCTTCCTAAATCAAAGAATGTTAGACTCTGGAATGAGGAAGGATGCTGGAAGGGCAGGCTGCCCTGCTCACAGACATCCATGCTCCCTCCCTCTGTCACATTCCAAGCAAGGCTCAGAGCCCTCCTGGGACCTGCTGATATCTGAGGTCTAACCATCTTGTTTTCCCTGCCCTTCAGGAAGCTGAGCAATCTGACATTTGCCCCGCATCACCTCTGGCTAGCCACGGGGAGGGGGTGGGGGTAGGAGAAGGTGGCAGGGGGGGAGGAAAGGGACTCCTCACCCGAGGGCATGGCTCGGACAGGACCCCAGGGCCTGGCTCCCAGGGTGCGAAGGTGAAGTTGGGTGGGCTACTGGCCAGACAATGGTGCCCAGCCTCGCCCTGTCCCCGTGCCCAGACTCGACCCTGCTCCTAGCTTGGTGTACTATCTCTCTGACAAGAGTATCTCCTTCAGAGCTTGTGGACTCCTAAGGTGGGCTGGGTGGGAAGTGCACTTTGGAGGGGAGAGAGGAAGGCTCAAGGAAGAGCTGCTGTCGGCACTGTGTATATCCTGCCTACAGAAGCCATTGGAGTCCATGTTAGATGTTGTGTCGGCTAGCAGTGGGAGCCTTGGGCTCCTGAACCATTAGTCAATAGATTGCCTATTGGGCCTACTGCCTAGCAGTGCTTAGCTTCTGGTGAGCCAGGGATGAGTTTCAGGCGTAGTTCTTTTCTTTTTCTTTCTTCGTGTTTTTTTTTTTTTTTGGGTCAGTCGTGGGGTTTGAACTCTGGGCCTGGGTGCTGTCCCTCAGCTCTTCAGCTCAAGGTGAGCACCCTACCACTTTGAGCCACAGTGCCACTTCCAGTTTTCTGGTGGTGTATTGGAGTCTCACAGACTTTCCTGCCCAGGCTGGCTTTGAACTGTGATCCTCAGATCTCAGCCTCCCGAGTAGCTAGGATGACAGGCGTGAGCCACTGGCGCCCGGCGCAGGTCTATTTCTTAAGATGGAAGGCCCAGAGGTCTCTAGATCCTGGAAAGACACAGAATTAAATCCACATGGTGCAGTCCCCACGGAGGGCTGATGGTTTGAGCTCCTGTTATCTAGTGAGTGCGCTCATCTCCCAAGTGGTACAGGCCTCCCTAGGGCACTGGGTTCCAGGGCGAGGTCAGAAGGTCAGGCTGTGGGCAGCAGGTCCCATGACAGTCTTTGCTTCTACGTCTCTTTGCTACATACTGGGTTTCAAAGCCTGGTGGGGCCAGTTCAGCACAGAGTACCATCCTTCCGTGTAGGACTATACTTGGGCATTTGCTCATCTCAGTTTCCTCATCTCAGAGATACAGACAACACTTCATGTGGGATCCTGTGAATTTGATAGGAAAGAAAGAATATGCTCAAACAAGTGCTCAAGAAGAGGTGGTAGGGGCTGGGAAGGTGGCTCAGTGGTAGAGTGCTTGCCTTGCATGCATGAGGCCCTGGGTTCGATTCCTCAGCACCACATAAGCAAAAAGAAAAAAGCTGGAAGTGGTGCTGTGGCTCAAGTGGTAGAGCGCTAGCCTTGGGCTGAAGAGCTGAGGAACAGCGCCCAGGCCCAGAGTTCAGGCCCCACGACCGGACCCCCCCCCCCAAAAAAAAAAAAAAAAAGCCGGGCGCTGGTGGCTCACGCCTGTAATCCTAGCTACTTAGGAGGCTGAGATCTGAGGATCGCGGTTCAAAGCCAGCCCGGGCAGGAGAGACCGTGAGACTCCTATCTCCAATAAACCACCAGAAAACCGGAAGTGGCGCTGTGGCTCAAGTGGTAGAGCGCTAGCCTTGAGCTGAAGAGCTGAGGGACAGCGCCCAGGCCCAGAGTTCAGGCCCCACGACCGACCAAAAAAAAAAAAAAAAGACATCAGGCTAGGTTTTATCCAGCAGAGTTGACCTGCCTGAATGGGGAGGTGTGGGGGGGGGGCGGGGAGAGAGAGGCATGGCCCTCCCCCTGCCAGGCTCTGCCGCCATGATTCACTGGGCCCAGGCTGGGGGGAAGGGTGTTAAAGGGACTTATCTGGGTGACATCCTGGAATGACGGTAGCTCTTGGGATCCTGGGGATCAAAAGTTCTGGCTCTGAGGAGTTTGTGGGGGTTGGAGGGGTAAGTACAGATCAGGTGGTGATACCTGGTGGGCCCACCTGGCATTGTTAACCTGGGCTGGAGTTGGGGAGATGGCAGAGAGGTAGGACATCTTTATGTGGCTTCACTTTTTTCACTTACTTGATAATAATGGCAACAGTCAACTGGGTGCCAGTGGCTCCCACCTGTCATCCTAGCTACTCAGAAGTTTGAGATCTGAGGATCACGGTTCAAAGCCAGTCTGGGCAGGAAACTCTGTGAGACTCTTATCTCCAATAAACCACTCAGAAAACCGGAAGTGGTGCTGTGGCTCAAGTGGTAGAGTACTTGCCTTTAGCTGAAGAGCTGAGGGACAGCACCCAGGCCCAGAGTTCAAGCCCTATGACCGACCAAAAATAAAATGACAGCAGTCATCATGACTACCTTTAATCAGGTTCCAATTAAGTGCCAGATATGTCTATGTGTATAAATATATGATGTGTGTATATATAAATGCATGTGAAGCATTTATCTATAAATTTATGTAATAACTTAAAATATATGTGTATATATATATTTATAGAGAGACAGCCATAAAGATACAATACCCACACATGGGCACACACAGACACGTGCACACACACATACCTCTCTTAAAGTAGTCTAGAGATGGCAGTGAGGCATAAAGACAGGAAGGGATGCTCTTGATGTCCCAACATTTAGAAAGCAGCAGGATCAGGATCCGGACAGCCTCAGCTCTATGTGACCCTGGAGGCCCTGTCCCTCTCTGTCCACCCTCCCCTCCCCCAGCACCCTTTGGTGGAGCTTATAAACCCCTACAGCCTAGCTGGACTTGGAAGGCCAGGAGACTGGGATGGGGTGGACTTGCTGGGACCCCCTCTGTCCCTGTTTGTCCCTTGCCCTCCCCGGACCAGGTCTTGCACGGAAAGGCCAAGTTTCAGGCCACATGAGGAGTTGCTAAGCTGGCTTTCATCCGGTCCTGAGGTTATTTGTTCAGCATGGAGTGCAAATTTCCCTGTCTCAAGACATGGAATCTGGTACAGCTTTGCCTGGATCAATGTCCAACCCCTTTCAAGTTCTGGAGAAAGTTACTCCTTTCCAAAGTTCAGACCTGCCAGACTCAATAACTCCACAAAAATGCTTGGATGAAAATTGCTCCAAGCAATCCCAGCGGAAAGCCAGCACCTCACCCCTCGTTTAAAGTTATGATCCTTATCATAATTAATTCAATAAAGAAGTAATGTGCTTCAACCTAGGCAGAGAGAATAATTTTCTGTCCTGACTGGTATAAACTTTCAACTAGGGACATTTAAACTCTGGGTCTGAGCTCTTGCAGCAAGTAATAGATTGCAGGCCCTGGCCGGGGCTGCAGACCCTTAGTTTAAACTGCAGTAAATAGGCGGCTATTGAAGAGAGGAAGGTTTGGATTCGGGTGGGCAGCTCCAATAAATAGCAGAGCGTTGTTTATAAACCTTGCCGTCCCAGCTGGCCTCCTCCTCGAGACAGGCAGTAGCGTGTGCTTGTTGAAAGTACCAGAGCGTTTGATCCTCACACTCCAAGCGAGCGGGCCACCTTGAGTCTTTACATTCAAAATCCGCTTCCTTCTGTGACTAAAAGGTGGGATTAGCTTGGCTTCTAAACAGACTAACACATTCTCAGGAGAACCTGACTTGGAGGCTGCGCAGTGATTAAAAAGTTCATTCTGCCTTTACTTCTAACATATTCCAAGCTGAGGAAGGGCCTGTGCTGTCCCCGAAGTCTGTTAGGTTTGCGGGAATTCCAAGTTTAGCCCTCAAAGTGGTCTGGAATGAAGTTAAACTAGAAGAGAAGTTGGTTCCAAACAGCTTTCAGATCGCATGTTATGGGACCAGATGAATTCAACGGCCATTGTTCTGTGAAAATAATGCGGAGTTGGGTGTGTGTTGTGGGGGGGCAGGTTAAGGTTCTTAAGGATGATTAGATTTGGAAACATCAAGGTGCTTGTCAGTCTCGTATTCTCCCCTCCTGACTAAGGTTTTTGGATGGCTCTTTTGTGAGCCGACAGCAAGCGTGCATTCCAAAACTTTCTTTCCTCTTCCAGTTGGTGGAAGTGAAAACTGTGGTGTCCTCAGCCCCCATTCTTCCCTGTGGGCCATTTCCACTCTTGTGGCCCCCAACTTGCCCAGAGCAGCACTGTGACAGGGCCCCCTCGCTTGCCGCCTTACCTTCCAAACCACGCCAGACTCGCACTGGGCTCTATCCAAAACAAATAGCTGCTTGTAGACAGC